GGCGAGACGGGCGCGGGGCGAGGCGCGCGTAGGGCAGGGCGCACGAGCCCGGCGCGGTGCGGCCATGCACAGGGTGAGGCGGGCGCGGTGCGAGGCGCGCGCAGGGCGGGGCACGCGAGCTCGACGCGGATCGGGGCGGACGCGGGCGAGAGGCGGCGGGCGACCTAGGGGTAGAGGCGGGCGAGCCCTGCGCGTCAATGTCGGCGAGGCGTGCGCTGGGAGGCGCTGTGAGGAGCCGGGGCGGACCGTTTGGGGTTCCAAGGCCTTCTGCGCGTTGGGCACAGATGCTCCATACGCCTGTCTATCCCTCGGACGTCCGCCCCAATCGCACTCCAAACGGACAAAAGCAGACGTCCGGATGGGGTCTAGCGCTGGAGTTGGCCTAAAACTACCACAATTCGTGTTATGATTCCAAAAAATCGATTGAAATTTATTTGTGACTGATAACTATCATTTTTGGTGTCGGCTGTTTCAAAAAACTCAAAACGCACGTTGCTAAGAAATTAAACTAATTTATGACGGGTCGGGTCCGCACCTAAACGAGCCGTCAGTTTGACCGTTAGCTGACATATCAGTCCCACATGTCAGTCTATTCCTCATTTCCTTCGCTCCTCTCTGCCTTCCTTCTCCTTCGACGTCTACTAGCTCAAATCCCCACCGGTGAAAGAACCTGAAGTTCACCGGAGACAGTGGCGCGGCCATAGCCGCCGGCCACACTGCTGGCCACGCGCACGACCGCATCCACCCGCACAACAACGCTCTTACGGACGACGGCGTCCAGTAGGGCAACGGAGCAACCGCCGCCTCTCCTTTCACCAGCAGCAGTCGCTCCTTCTTCCACCTCGCCGGCGTCGGCCACAGCTCCTCCGCCTCCACTACTGCCTCCTCTCCCCAGACACTCTTCTCCTCCCTTTAGCATGCAGCCCGACACGCCTCCCTCTACGGCCTGGAGCCCTGGCGCCACCGGCCAGAGGTGTTGCCCCGCATTGCCGGCGAACCCCAGCAGCCACTGCTCGTGCAGGGTCCAGACGGACGTGGGTCGCGGCCGCGGGTGGCACAGGAGGCTAACTCCGGCAGGAGGCCTCCCTGTATGTGGCCGTCCATTGCGGCGTCCAGCAGGGCGACGAAGCCGTCCACCCGCACCCTGCGCATACTGGACGACGGCGACAGAAGGGAGCTCCGCGCCGGCGCCATGGCTGCTACCGACGAGCTCCTCACGGCGGCTGCTGCCCAGCGAGCATGGCTGCAGGCGCACGACCACGAGAGGGACCCGATTGCTTTTTTCAAAAGATTACAGGGACCCGATTGCGTTTTTGAAACATTTATAGGGACCCAATTGTTTTTTCTGTGAGGAAGAAACACTGACATGTGGGCTCCATATGTCAACTAACGGTCAAACTGACGGTCCGTTTATATGCGGATCCGACCTGTCAGAAAACGGATTAAAATGTTAACATATGCGGGTCCGACCTGTCAGAAAACGGATTAAAATGTTAACAGCAAGTGTTTTGGGTTTTTTTAAACAGACGACGTCAAAAGTGGTAGTTATCAGTCTAAACAAAATTTCGATAGCTTTTTAGAACCATAACACGAATTGTGGTAGCTTTATGCTATTCACTGTTTGTTTGATCTTAGCCGTAAACAATTTAACCATCCCAAATCAATATAAAAATCATCTGCTTTTGGAGCGCAATAACACTAGTCTTACTAACTTAGTTATCTTCTAACATCTCACTGGTAATTTGCTTCTAGTATTAAACTTGCATGTGCTCTTATCGCTGCTAGATACCATGAAAACATGGTATTAAATACGCATGGAACTGTGGGACTCATCTCTCATGAATGATATGCACTAGAGGCACCTCTTGAGGCGAGACTGTGCGCATTTATCTTGTGTCAGTACATTCGACTGTCATGTTTGGTTCTCAGTCTTACACATGTACATCAATATGGGTATATGCTATAACATTATGATTTCTTGCTCTCTTGGATGTAGTCATATAAAATATTCATTACAACCCTTCCTTGATGAATCTCTGAACAAGCTTACAACAGAAGCAATTTCAGTGTGTATATATGATAGGTTGCTCTACTATCTACAAAACAGAGGGATGGAAAAGGGAGACAGAGAGCTGCCATTAGATGGAAATCTATATAAAAGGAATGAACCATCTTAAATGAAGAACCAGAAGTTCTCCATTCCCTTCTCATACTTGAGTACAGTTTAGAACCAACAGAGCAAACAACAAGAAATAGCAGCATCCACTAAACCCAGCTTAAGCACACGGTTTCAAAATAAAAAGGAGACATTGGTGCTTGCAGTAGTACCTCTGAAACAACAAAGTAGTTGCAGAGTCACTGGCCCATTGTGCTGGGGTGCAGCGTTGGATGCCTCTCTCGGAATAAGGGGCCGCTGACGAATGAATGGAGTTGATGCATCTTTTGCAGTTGAGGAGAACATTTACCTCCTATTCTCATGAACCTTCACATTTTGCACATTCAGAAAGAAAATCAATAGGTGCACCATTTATAATGAAGACAATATCCAAAGAAAAAGAGAAAACAGGGTGACAATCTATTTGAGGAAAGCATTTACTAATTTTATCTGACCTATGTCCGCATGGTAAGAACTTCTTTGGATTCGTTTATTGCACTTGTTAGGCGATTTTTAGGTAGTCCACAATGGTAGTGTAATGATTTGTCGTATCCTTGGAAAGATTGTCGCTCTCAGTTTGTGGATTGCACAGAACTTGTCACTCCATCACGTCATTATTCAAGCACAGATACAGTCCTCCTTCGTATATGTTACATTGGGATAAAATCTGCAAATGCAGGTATGGATTCGTTAGAAATTGATGGTTTCAAAGATGCACCTCTCTCAAGCCAATATTTGTTTGACAGATCACATGATTAATTCACAATCTAAAATAGAGAGACACCTGAAGGTAATAACTACAAAGTAGATGAACCAAGAGCCACCACTTACGAAGATATTTATTCGAGGATATAAACTTTGAAATTTCTAATGCAGGCTGCAAAATTGATGAAAAGCAAATTTTTCTTGGTAGCAGCACGTACTCGCGAGTGACTTCGGCTAGGTAGTAGCGATGACCTGCAGCCAAATAAACAAGATACATGAGTCAGAACTTGAAATAGAAAGGGAAACGCACAAATCAGTAAGAAAACCCATGTATATAGAAAGGAAAGAAACCAAATACACACGCACAACCATTTATCATTAGCACATCACAGTGATTCAATGTAATCAGTGAGGTTTGTTGAGAGAAACCAAGCATGTGAGGCCCTTAGGAGGGATAGACAACAGAAAAGAGAACAACCTAGAGACGGTGATGTCAGTGCTCTAGCGCGTCATATCGATGATCTCGTTGTCGTAGTCGGCGAGGGAGCAGCGGTCGATCCAGGTGTCGGAGGAGGCTGACTTGATTTGGATGTCGTCGACGTTGTGGCTGCGGCCGGCCTGGAGTCATAGAAGGCCTTCGTCTTCCCGGCCATGATGCTGAGCCCTCTAGATATTTTTTTATGACACTTCTCATGTGTAGTCCCCTTTATCATGCTTTTTACAGGCACATAAACTACAGGAAGTTTTGGACAGAGAAGTTCACCTTTTTTTATGATGTGCAGGCTACAATTACCAGACTTGTTTGCTCCCCTGTTCTATGTGCATAGAGAAGATATTCATTCATACTAATAATTATTTTCATCATGTGCAGTCTAGTATCCCTGGTGCTTTATTTTCAAACCTACATGAATCTCAATTGAT